TTTTATTTTAATGCAGGAGAAGAAAGACATATGATCAATTTTCTAAAAAAAAAAAAAAGACTGGGAGGGCATTATGCTAGGTGGAGTAAGTCAGACGTAGAAAGACAAATACTGTATGATATCACTTACATATGGAATCTAAAAAATACAACAAACTACTGAATATAACAAAACAGAGACTCTCAGATATAGAGAACAAACTAGTGGTTACCAGTGGGGAGTGGGGGAGGGAATACAGAGGGGTGAACGAGTGGGAGGTACAAACTATTGAGTGTAAGATAAGCTAAAGGGATGTAGTATACAGCATGAGAGCACAGCCAATATTTTGTAATAACTGTAATTGGAGTGTAACCTTTAAAAATTGTATAATTTTTTTTTTAAATTTAAAAAGTACAATGTCATTTGTCATTACTGATACATGTTTATATATACCAATGATGACCCTTTCCTCCAACTAACTCTAATAACAAGATTAAATAATTATTTTTAAATTTATTAAATCATAGCAACAGGCCTAAAGCAATAATTTTCAATGTGTGGTCTCTTTACCAGAAGTATTATTTTCACTTGGGAACTTGTTAGAACTGTAAATTCTCAAGCCCTACCAGAGAACCATTAAATCAGACATTCTAGAGTTGGGTCCCAGCAATCAGTATTTAACAAGTCCTCCAGGTGGTTCTGACACATACTAAAGAAATACTCTCAAACAAAAAGATGCATATTGATACCAGAATTAAATGGAGGAGAGTAGATACATGGTAATAACCCGAGTATAATGGGGGACACTAAACCACTGTTTTAGACATCTAAAGTTCTTAGAGATAATCAATTTTGCCTATGGCACATAAAAAATCAAGGGCAAGAATGGTTAGATCTCTTCTATACTGATTTAAGTTAATCAACATTTTGGAAATAGATTTTTATGTGGCAACATCTTTATTTCTTCAATATGTCAAAAGTTGCAATGCCTGAAAACAATCTAACTTTACTATTAAAACAACTGCTTCATGAGACTAGTTTAACACTTAACTTTGTAAACATTTGGACAAATTGACTGTCTCTTTCAAATTCTAAATTGTGTTTCCAGGAAGACACTGGGTGAAAACCCTGACATTTATTTATGTGATTTCTTATTCAATTGCATGTTCAATTTCAAATTTATTAATTTATTCATCAAATGTTTATTGAGCATTTAATTTATCCAGGCACTAAGTTAGAGGAAGATCTCTCCTGATGCTTCATAAACAGATGATATCAGCTTTAAAAAGGAAATTCTTGAGAGCTACAGAGAGGCCCACTTCTTGAATTTCTTTGATCCATGTGGACTATCAGCAGGTAGTTTCTAAAAGAGTACTGGTTATCGTCACTTTTTAAATATAGAGCTACTGTTGGTGTGTGTGTTATGTATATATATATATATATATAT